TTTTAGGACACCAGTGAATCCACTCAACTCTAATAGATACCTGACATTTGTTGGGGAAAGTTAAGGTGGTTGGTTGTGGGCCACATGGCCTTCGTTAATCGCCATAGAAACATCTTCTCTGGCCTATAGCTCGAAAGGTCTGATAGGAGTACTTTAATTTACTTTCGATGTTTATGAATGGTTTATTGTAAAACAAAGAATCAATTTGTAATACATATCTAAATTTGTAATGTAGGATGCCTTTAACCTAATGTAGTAATCGTTCTCGTTTTATTTTTGTCATTAGGTCATTGATAACAGATCATCAGTGGTGCGCTTACAGACGTGATTAAATCTACGTACTGTTCGTCGTTGACCTCACTGGTCGTGACCAATAACTGTGTCAACATATGGATAAAAAAAGAGAACAATAAAAGCAGACAATAGACTAAATACAATGATTACCAACCTCAAGATTAATGGCGATGGACGAATGTTACAATGCTTCGAAGACTGCTGTGCGATCTAAATATTTGTCACATCAAATGTGGACTAAGGCAAATGTGCACAATTTATACAGACTCCCAGCCATCAAACAATAAAAACATATTTGTTTTATTAGGCTAGAAATGTTTTTATCTAATCAGAGTCTCGACTTTGACTTTTTAGAAACTACCTGATCAACACATTGTAAACACTACCAGAAAATGTGTTGGCCTTTAGACTGTAACTGTATGTTTATGATAAATTCAGTTTATCGTATGCCGTATGCCCATCTCACAGTTTTATAGTAAGCAAAAAGAGACTTTTCAATGAAAGCGCTTCCTTGTTTCGAAGTTTGCATACGAGGTCACGTGTCACATCAGCGGAGAGATATTGAGTTGTGATCTTTGAACGGAACATGTCTCAAACGCAGGAGAACACAAGTCTGCTTAACGTCTCCAATGTATCCAGCCACACCTTGGAAGAGATCAACGATGAGATAGCCTTGACCTTACTTCCAGCCATGCTGGTGCTTGCAATTCTCATGGTCGTTGGAATCTGTGGCAACTCTCTGGTGGTCTACGTGTTCTGTTTTAAGATGAAGTCTGGCACACAGAATGTCCTAATCGTCTGCCTAGCAGTCTTTGACCTTCTCAGCTGCACACTGTCCATACCTAATGAAATAACTGACATGAGATATTTCTACACATTCCCATCAGAAGCAGCGTGTAAAATAATGAGGTAAAGAATGACAGGATTACAATTAGCCGTATTCCATGATTACTTATAGTTCAACTTTTATTATGATTTCTGATATTTTTTTAAAATAATAAATGTAAAGCATTCGCCTTCTTCTAAAGCAAATCTTGCCAATACTCCATCACTCGTCATAACCAATGTTTTGCCAAGATTAAGCAACAACTAGACATTGGGCAGATTCCTATTTAAGATTATTAAAAGAATCTAAAGATTTTTTTTTTGTAGCCTATAAACATTGAAAACTGATTAATTATTTTCATGAAATATTGTCCCTTACTTGAGTCCAAAATGTTTCTCTACTCTACAGATTTGTGAATACATTCTGTGCTATCGGTTCCATCATGACTTTGATTGTCATCGCTGTAGACAGATTCAGGAAGATCTGCCGACCTTTCAAAAGGCAGATGCACACCAAACACGTGAAGCTTTCTCTCATCCCAGTCATCGTACTGGCCTTATTCTTCTCTCTACCCGCCTTCGTCATGTACGGTTTGAGAACCGCTGATACACATGTGCCTGGGTTGGTTGGACAGGACTGCTCCACACCCAACGCCATCGGGAGCACCATCCTTCCACTGCTGTACAACTTGCTCCTCTTTGTTTGTTTCATCATCTTGAGCGTCACCCTTAGCGTCTTGTACTTTTGCATTCTCCGTGAAACCAACAGGCACAACCGCTACATGAAAAGAAACTCGGATTTCAGTTTGTCTTCAACGGTGCCATCCACGGACGATTCTGGGTCTAGCCTAGACCGAACACCCGTGGCCTGTAGCGTCTCTCCGACAGATACTGCTCTGGTGGTGTGCAATTCTTCGGTGTTCGACTACAGTTCTGAATGTCCTGCACTCCCAGAAGTTACCATTGGCGACATCAATGCTAACAATAATGAGAACAAACATGCCTTAAACCAAACTGACTCTAATTTAAAATCACCAATACTTTTAGAGAAAGATGAGAGCTCTACACATCCACTAGATGTCATAAACACAAGCACTCTACAGCCACCAGCAACAATTAGAGTGAACAGAAAACCTTCCATTTTAATTTCATCCAAAGCTGACTACGTCAAAAAAGATTTAAAAATTGCAATCCTGGAGCCGGTGGATTCCTTTAAATCTTCAGCTCCCACGAAACCTCTGAAGAGACATGTGCGAAGTAAAACGACAATCATCGCTTTCGTTGTGACCGTCGTGTTTATTCTCAGCTTTTTACCACACTTATGCTTGCAGGTGGCCAAGATGATCAAACAAGGTTTCGACTACAACCTCCAGGGATCATCTCTTGTGGTCTATAACATTTTCCTGCGATCCTATTTCTTAAATTCTGTTTCGAACCCGTTCATTTACAGTATTTTAAACGTCAAGTTTAGTAGTGAAGTGAAACGTTTGTTTCGTAAGATGTCCTGTAAAACATGATCATGATTTTGAATGATTTTATGAGTGAACAAATCTAGTCAACTATTGAAACCTGGGTGTTCTCTGTGCAGCATTTAAGATTTTTACAAAGCTTATATCAACTCAACTGAAAAGTTTGTACACGTTATTTCTCCCACACCCAATCTTGGATCAGAAATTTTGTACAATTATTTCTTTTACCTGACAACACAAGAATGAATTTAAAAAAAAACAAACAATTAGTTAATTAACTATTGGTAATAAATTATTTTGTTTGGTATACTATCTCGAACAAGGGAAAGAAATTGTAATTGACTGAAGTGGTGATATACGCAGAATTAGTCCCCTTTATATGTCGTCGTCTGAGTCTTAGTGAACACAAACCTGCCAAATAGGACGAGACAATAGATAACTCTACAATCTCCCATGTTCATAAGCAATGATTGGTTTGTGGGCTTGAAAGATTTGTACCGTAAAAAAGCGTGTATCAAGTTAGAGACTAACTATAGACTATAGATCTATGAGTTTCAAGTGTTGTTCTATAGATCTATGAGTTTCAAGTGTTGTTCTATGGATCTATGAGTTTCAAGTGTTGTTCTATAGATCTATGAGTTTCAAGTGTTGTTCTATGGATCTATGAGTTTCAAGTGTTGTTCTATAGATCTATGAGTTTCAAGTGTTGTTTTGAGTGTGTCTGTGTTATTTCTCTCACACCCAATCTAGGATCAGAAATTGTGTACTATTATTTCTTTTACCTGACAACACAAGAATGACGAGATAAAGCGCCATCTAGAGTCAATGAACCATTATTAATTAACTACATGTAACATCTCAGACATGTCTCCCACAGTTGTCTTCATTTGACTGCTGTATTTCCACTTATGCAATGTATAGAACTAATGTGAAAATAAGTTCTAAACTCGACTAATGTTCCTTTAACTCAACTCTCAAGAAGTTCTAGATCTAGTGCAATAATTAGTAGACACCAGAATAGTGCTCGAGTTTTCAGTAGTTACTTAAGCTCTTTACATAAAAGGCTACATAAAAGGTCATTGGACTTCAGTCTCTACTTGAAAATAGGCCTACGACCCCCCAGTGGCGTAGCTAGGGTGGGGTGAGGGGGTCCAAATTTGAAAATCTCCCGGGCCCCCAATTGAGGGGGCCCCAAACGAGTGTCCGAAATATGTTTTAAAATTAAATATTAAACCATTATCTCATGTCATAATTTCGAATTTCAAAAGGCAGGGGCCCCTAAAGAGGTCAAGCCCATGGGCCCCCAAATACCTAGCTATGCCACTGCAATCCCCTGACGACATTGGATCAAGTTGAGTGGTTATTGGTTAAGTATTAATTCGTGTTAAAGAAGCCATAAAACAAACTAATGCAGATTTGGTTTTAGTTATAAAACTATAAACTATGTGTTAGAATTAAAATTATTAAAAAGATAAAGTCTTCTTGTAAAGCATCTTTTGGTGAATTGACTGGATCTTAGAATCTGATGACTAGACATTGATCTTTTGTTTGCGTTAATTTGATTGAAAATTTAAATTGACTTTGCTGAAACAGTATATACTATTTTTCTTTCGCATTTCTTTCTTTCTTCATTTCTCTCTTGGCGCTCTTTATGGCCTAGTCTTTATGGCCTAGTCTTTATGGCCTAGTCTTTATGGCCTAGTCTTTATGTCCTAGTCTTTCTCTCGTCTCTCTAGCTCTAGTTTTTCTCTTTTTTTTCTGTCGTAGTCAATTTATTCTTTCTACATTATCAGAGCAATTTTGTCTTTGATTTCTCTAGATCTATGTAACATGCCTGACGGCATCAATTTTGTCTTTGATTTCTCTAGATCTATGTAACATGCCTGACGGCATCAATTTTGTCTTTGATTTCTCTAGATCTATGTAACATGCCTGACGGCATCAATTTTGTCTTTGATTTCTCTAGATTTATGTAACATGCCTGACGGCATCAATTTTGTCTTTGATTTCTCTAGATCTATGTAACATGCCTGACGGCATCAATTATGTCTTTGATTTCTCTAGATCTATGTAACATGCCTGACGGCATCAATTTTGTCTTTGATTTCTCTAGATCTATGTAACATGCCTGACGGCATCAATTTTGTATTGTTTTCTCTAGATCTATGTAACATGCCTGACGGCATCAATTTTGTATTTGATTTCTCTAGATCTATGTAACATGCCTGACGGCATCAATTTTGTATTTGATTTCTCTAGATCTATGTAACATGCCTGACGGCATCAATTTTGGTTTAATACGTTTCTCTGAATCTCAATTAACTATTTCACGAGAATGCTTCAAGATTCAAAAGTTTTGACACTAACTTTATAAACATCTACCGACATTTTTTTTAAAATCTTCATAATGATCAATTTCCCCCCCCCCCCCCAACATTTCTTTTCCTTTTGAAATGAAGATTATTATGTCCGAAGCTTCTGCAGTTAGACAGTGGATTCGAACACGGCAACGTATCAACAGACCATGATTCATGCTCCCGCAGCCAGTTTTTCTTTATAACGTTTTTCCACTACTAACATAAGGAGTTCTGGAGGAGTTCGCCTTCTCAGACATTGCACATACTTTGTCAAGTGTTCTCCGCTTTGCCTCGCTTATCAAACCTTTGTTGACCTTCGCCCTGATGATTTCGACTTTTGAGGCAACAAGATGTATCCTGCTTATTCTATTTAAGGGGCTGCCTTTTACCAATGTAGAGGTCGCTGGAATCTTTTGTAGCTTACATACATTTCAGCTTGATTAATGTATGGCCTTCTCGGCCTCAGTCTTATATTGGAACATGTTCTACACCTTTGTATATGCACATAGTTTTAAGATTTCAACACATGAGACATTAAGCTAAGTGATCAACACAGTTGTAGAAGCAAGCAGAACCTTGGTGTCCATTTTGTTAGCCCTGTTTTTCTTCTTTTAGAATCTCTACTTTCTACAAAACATTCTCATTAGTATGTATTTTGTTTTTTGACATTGTGTAAACTATGACATCTGAATCTGAAGTACATCAGATGTCATCTAAATGACTCGTGAAACAGTATTCTGTACATATATACCAATTGTTTCTATTAAGTTCATCTATTTTATCACCTCACTCTGACTTCAATAAATATTTGTTTCATACCAATTCACTGTTTGGATTTGTAGACTTTATCCATTAGATAATAATGAGAAACTGAGAGAAAGAGAGAGAAAGTGATTTTGAGAGTGAGAAAGTGATTGACTGAGAGAGTGAGAAAGTGTTTGACTGAGAGCGTGAGAAAGTGTTTGACTGAGAGCGTGAGTAAGTGTTTGACTGAGAGCGTGAGAAAGTGTTTGAGAGCGTGAGAAAGTGTTTGACTGAGAGCGCGAGTAAGTGTTTGACTGAGAGCGTGAGAAAGTGTTTGAGAGCGTGAGAAAGTGTTTGAGAGAGTGACTGACTGAGAGTGAGAAAGTGATTGACTGAGAGAGCGAGAAAGTGATTGACTGAGAGCGAGAAAGTGATTGTCTGGAAGAGTGAGAAAGTGTTTGACTAAGAGAGTGATTGACAGAGTGAGAAAGTAATTGACTGAGAGAGCGACTGACTGAGAGTGAGAAAGTGATTGACTGAGAGTGAGAAAGTGATTGACTGAGATAGTGAGAAAGTGATTGACTGAGATAGTAAGAAAGTGATTGACTGAGATAGTGAGAAAGTGATTGTCTGGAAGAGTGAGAAAGTGTTTGACTGAGATAGTGAGAAAGTGATTGACTGAGATAGTGAGAAAGTGATTGACTGAGAGAGTGAGAAAGTGATTGGCTGAGAAAGAGATTGGCTGAGAAAGTGTTAGGCTGAGAAAGTGACTACACAATCAAGAACAACATCATGTGTATCTCTATTATTTAGCTTTATTTGAAGTTTACGTTGACATTTTGGTTACACCAAGGCACAATTGAAATACATCCATATGACATCCAAATTTACATGGCACCATCAAATAGATGGTATCAACATGCTACACAATATTTGAAATATACATTGTTCTGTATCAATACATTGGTTAGGAAAGGACACAATATAACAGCACAGTGTTTGTTTAAGTCCTCCCTAGTAGATGTTAAGAAACAGTTCAGTTAATAAATTGTGACAACAATGTTGATGTCTTCAATGGCATCATTCAAATTCATCTTAAAACACATGCACCAATTCATTTTCTCCAAGATCGAATTGAACTCTAGGCAATTGAAATGTACAAGGTCAAGTACACATTTACAATGAACCTTAACCAATAAATTCAAGAAACTCACAACATAACTTTGTACAAGGAACATAGAGGATACTGACTGATAGAACTATGTAAGCAGAATCCGCAAAGGTGTCGGAGCTTTTGGAAGTTTTTTTGTTTACTTATGAACAAGCTGAATTGGTTTTAAGAAAGGTCATGCAAGAAAGAACTTTAGCTCTGCATATAAAAAAAATATTTAAAAAATGAACACAACCGAAAATCATGTAGTGGTTTGTCTTTTTTTCCAAGACTGTGCACAATAATTTTTCTTTCTTTCAATTATTCTTCGATCAAGTGATCTGTACATGCCGTACATGTATAGGCAGAAATGTTTGATACAAGCTGTCCTCTGCCAACAAGGTGTTAGGATTCTATGCACCAGAGCTCTATAAACAACATCCGCCTAAGTGGTGATTACTAAACACACACACACTACATGGACTGAATTAGATGACAAATGATGACATAAATGTACTGTACAAGTTTCTTTGGATTATTTGAACTCCTAATAATACTGATTCTGTCAGTTTGGTGTGCAAACAAGTTTGGACTTACATCGAAGTAGACTTGAAATGTATTTGTAGTTGCAGATTAAAGAAAAACTAGAGACACAAGACTTTGGGTTGCTGAAGGTTGAGTGCTCTGATACACAAAGATTTCGAAAGAAGGGAAAATGTCTTGATGATGGGGTCTCACGGTAAAAAAAAGATTGAGGATCCTGGAAATGACAGCCTTTGATTGAAATCAGAAGTAGAAAAAAATAAGATTTTAGATGGACAATGAGTTAAGATTAGGGTTAGAATTAATTATTAATTAAAATTCTACCAGACACACTTTTTCACACAAACTTATTTGCCAGTTAACCAAACCTAATAGCATAATGCCTTGTCTACCAATGACTGCATTCAAGTGCACAATGCAAAAAAAAAAAGGTACATACTGTGTAATCATTAAATATTTGGTTTTATTTCCTGATAGCTTAAAAGATATTTGCAAAAAAACAAAAAACATTGAAACAACATAAAGAAATATAGCTTTCAAACCATTAAAAAAAATGTGTACATAAATTTTTTTTATGCATGTGTAAAATAATTTTCTTTTTTTGTAAAACAATGTCAATTTGTGTATAAAACTACAAAAGACTTTTTTTTTTATGTCTCACTTGAATTTACTTTCCTAATTTCTCACATTCCTATCAAACTTTCAGAAAGAGATTTCTAATAAATTAAAAAAATTTCTAATTAATTAAACTAAAAAAAAATATTTTTAATGCACAAGCTGATTAAAAGACTAATGTTGGAGTGCATGATGAGAACATTATTGAATTAAATTAATAAACAAATGTATACATACATGCAGATGTCTGGAGACACATTTAAAAGACCTAGCTTGTTATAATACTGATATGATACAAATAATGATTGATGTCTATCGCATTATTTACACATTATGTTTTGTTTCAAGAATTATAAGGCTTTGTCAATGAGTCTGCAGAATAAGCTAGAGTGCAGTATTGGACCATGAAGACCCAGTTGCAACCTGCGTATATTGTCACATTCACTGCAGACAAAGCCATTCAACTAAGAGGATTTATCTGAGTAGTAAATATAATTGTGGCTATTTTAACTTTTTTTTTTACCCTCAAGCAGTTGCTTGTAATGGAAAGAAATCTTGAAGCAAAGGTGGCTGAGTGGTAAAGCAATTGGCTTCTGAATCAGGGGTTCTGGGTTCAAATCTCGAAGAAGACTGGGATTTTGAATTTAGAAATCTTTAGGGCGCCTTTAGGGCTCCAACCAGCTGACATTAGTTGGAGAAAAGTAAAGGCTGGCCACATGACATCCTCGTTGACTGTGGACCACAGAAACAGATGACCTTTACTTCATCTGCCTTATAGGTCGCAAGGTCTGAAAGGGCAACTTTTAGAATCCTCTAAAAAAAACCTTCACTACTTATTATGTCTAAAAAGCCTAGGGAAGATTGACAATCCAAGTTCAGCTCCTTGCGTTTTATCTGGAATTGTAGATTGAAAAGTATCCAATCTGAACCAAGCATTTTCAAAAGTGGAATGGATAATGCTGATAAATACTACACTTAAGTATTAATTAAGTAAACAAATGTGAACAGATTTTCATAACCAAAAAAATTTTCAACAACTTCCATTGTTGATTATTTAGCAAATAACTGCACAGTGAGTCTTCAATGGAGATAATATGCCCTTTAAACATATTCCATGAGAAGATTGTTGAAGTGAAAAAGTGGAATCATTCCTACAAATAAATTGATCTCTATGTGGCTAACACTCATGGAAATTATAAGCAACATAAAAAAAACACACAATGTTAAGCTGAAACACTTATGATCACATTTCCTGATTTTAGGAACTGGGTAACAATAAAGAGGCGAAACAAATGGCTAGAAAATGTGCTAACAACTTTTGGAGGGATACCTGCAACAGAATCCAAGACAGTCTCAACTCAGGAAATAGCAAAGCTCTATTTGATGGCATTAAAGCGGCCCTGGGCCCAACAGTGTCTAAGCCTGCCCCCCTTCTATCCAAATCAGGAGAAAAAATTACAGATCAAACCAAGCAGCTAGAACGATGGACAGAACACTACCTCGAAGTCTATGCCACACAGAATACAGAAGACGATGTCGCCCTGGCTTCTCTACCAGATCTTCCAGTATAGGAATGCCTAGATGATCTTCCGAGCCTTAATGACCTTAAAAAAGCAATTAACTGCATAAAAAAACAGAAAATCTCCTGGGAGTGATGGTATCCCAGTGGAAGTAGTGAAAGTCAACGAATCACTCCTGCTCCCTGAACTCTATATTCTCCTCTGCCGCTGTTGGGAAACAGGTCATGTCCCACAGGACATGCGTGACGCAACTATAGTCACAATATACAAGAACAAAGGGGATCGGAGTGACTGCAACAATTACAGGGGTATCTCTCTCCTCAGTATAGTGGGCAAGATCTTTGCTAGAGTGGCACTATCCAGGTTGCAAGTGATAGCTTCTAGAGTCTACCCAGAGTCTCAGTGTGGATTCAGGAATGATAGATCCACTATAGACATGATATCTTCTCTACGACTACTGCAGGAGAAATTCAGAGAGAGAGACAGACCCCTATACATCGTTTTTGTGGATCTGACTAAAGCTTTTGACATGGTCAGCTTCCCAAACTACTGCAGTTCATTGAGTGTTTTCACGAGGAAACTAAATGCACTGTCAAATTCAATGGAGCCCAATCAGCACCTTTTGAGGTTTGCAGTGGTGTCAAGCAGGGATGTGTGCTCGCACCTACTCTGTTTGGCATATTCTTCTCCTGTCTACTGCATTAAGCGTACAACAACATAAACGAAGGTGTGTTTCTCCATACAAGATCTTCTGGAAAACTATTTAATGTATCAAGGCTGCGGGCAAAAACCAAGGTTAGGAAGCTACTCGTCAGGGAACTCCTGTATGCTGATGATGCCGCTATTGTGGCTGATTCTGATATTCAGCTACAGTGCTTGGTTGACAAGTTATCTGCTGCTTGCCAGAAGTTCGGCTTAAACATCAGTCAAAGCAAGACTAAGATACTTGTCCAAAACACAAACACTGCACCTCAGGTAAGCATAAATGGCCAACCACTAGAAACTGTTGATCACTTTTGTTACCTTGGCTCCGGATGTATGCAAACGCGACATGAAGCTCTTCAAAATCGACACTGGCAACTGGGAAGAGGTGGCACTGGACAGATCCTCATGGAGAGAGAGCATAAAGAAAGGGTCAAAGATTACAGATGTCATACACAACAGAAGCAGAAAGAAGGGTGAAAATGCAACAGCCCCTGGTGATTATTTATGCCCAACCTGCGATCGCAGCTATGTATCAAGGATTGGCCTCTTT